TCTATTCTATTCTATTCTATTCTATTCTATTCTATTTTATTCTATCCTTGTACTCTACTCTACTCTACTCTACTCTACTCTACTCTACTCTACTCTACTCTACTCTACTCTCTCAGTTTGAAGAACTTGGCCATCCTGTTTTGTTTGTTTATAGGACCTTTCATGACACTTGCACTATATTTAGCAGGATCTACTCTGTGCAAAAGTACAACTATTTTTCACCACCATTTCTAACATCCAACCCAAATTGGAAAAGATAAATATATGCCCATTTTAAGAGACGTTTTGCTTGTTTAGATGACCTGGTCTAGCCTGGGCAGCGCTGTGTCTTTAAGAGCACCGTAGCCCATGCCAGGGCCTCTGACCTGGCAGTGTCCTCAGCTGAGTTGGATTAAGGCGCTGGGGCGCCTAGTGGCTTTCATGCTTGTACATTCTTTCATTTCCTAGCAGCTTAACCAGTCCCTTCTCCCCAGACTCGGTTGGCCAGGGATGAGCTGTGGTCTTGAAAGGAAGACAAGGGCCAGTTGGTTGAATTAACCCATCGCCCTCATCGGGAAAGGGAAAAAAATCCATCAATTTGCGGCCATCGTCTCACCCTTTGGGCAGCCTTCACCAAGGACAAGAGCCTCCGGTCCATGCGTTGAACATCAGAAGGTTCCTGGGAGAGTTGACCCTGCAGAAAGCCGGATGCCACAGGAAGGGGGGACATGTGGCAGCCCCAGACAGGCAGGGATCCTGTCCACGTATCCCCCAGCCTCCTTCCTGGCTATGAAGGACTTCACCGAGGTGATCTTTCAACCAGAGGCACAGAGTCAAAACCAGGTAAGCAGAAGACCAGCTGTTTGGGGATGCTTTGAGCTCCATATCTCTATCCAACAAGGACCAGGGAATGTCCGTTGTCCAACCCTTGTGTGTTGCATGATTGTGGCCATCCTAATGACCTTTTTTTTACTTCCTGGGGAACTCCTGTTAAGGACAACCCCCCCAAAATTCAGTTAGAACATGGTTAGGGCTGTACGGTATTTTCATTCTGGCTTCTTCTGCTGCTTGGTGCGTTTAATTGACGTTTTGTGGGGCTACTCAGTCCCAAAGTGCACTTTTATTATTTGGGACTGTCCTTTTTCGACTCCAAAATGCCAAAACTGGTTTGCAAGAAAAACGGAGGGTTACTTAAAAGGGAGGGGAGACTACAGGAGACTTAACAGATTTAAAATGCCTCCTTTTCTATGCCCCAGGAGACCGTCATGCTGTCTTTGCCACCGAACTTGCTGACTGAGTTCTCCAATCCCGTGTTTGAGGAGGATGGCGAGACGTTGACCCAGAACCAGCTGGAGGAAGAAAAGGGCAATGATACCAAACTCACCGCCAATGGATTTGGTAGCAATAAGTCTATGTTTTGGAGGGGCGCTAAGATGGAATAACAATATCAACAAGATGGGGAGAGTCAGTTTGGTGTTAAAAATGAAGAGGCTGGCCTAGAAAACCAAGAGGACTTGAATTCAAGTCTTCTTTAGCCCAACCCACCGTGCCAGGGAGTTGCTGTTACCAAAAGAGACCATTATGACTCTTGCCTTGAGTTGTACTAAAGCAGCAGTCTTCATACTTGACAGCTTTAAGACTTGTGGATTTCAACTCCCAGAATTCCTCCTCCTCCAGTCATGTTAGCTCAGGAATTCTGGGAGTTGAAGTCCACAAGTCTTAAACTCGCCAAGTTTGAAGACCCTTGTACTAAAGCAAGGTTGGGATAGAAATCTCTTAAGGATAATAGTTATAGAGGAGATGGTTTTATGGTGCATCATTTCAAGGTTGTTAGTTTCTATTTTAGTGGTTGTCCACAGCTCAGTACTTTCCAAGTAGGATGGACTCCAACTTCCATCACTGAGGCAGAAGAATTCAGAGCTATGCTCCCCAGGGGGAGTTGAAGTCCAACAGGCAGGCACGCAGGCAAGAAGGAAGGAGAGATAGGAGGGGAAGGAAGGAAGGAAGGAAGGAAGGAAGGAAGGAAGGAAGGAAGGAAGGAAGGAAGGAAGGAAGGAAGGAAGGAAGGAAGGATAAGGATGGAAAGATAAGGAAAAGGAAAGAAGGAAAGATAAGGAAAAGGAAAGAAGGAAAGATAAGGAAGAGGAAGAAAGGAAGGAAAGATAAGAAAAAGGAAGGATGGAAAGATAAGGAAAAGGAAGGAAGGATGAAAAGGATGGAAAGATAACAAAAAGGAAGGAAAGAAAAATAAGGAAGAGGAAGAAAGGAAAGAAAGATAAGAAAAAGGAAGAGAGGAAGGATTAGGAAAAAGAAGAAAGGAAAGATAAGGAAAAGGAAGGAAGGAAGGAAGGAAGGAAGGAAGGAAGGAAGGAAGGAAGGAAAAATCTCCAAGTCCTGCAAGATTTTCTTTGGCTTTTGGCTGGATTTCTGATTTCTGGATTTAGAGCAACATGTAAAAAGTCTTCTGCTCCAGTCTCTCTTCCAGAGGTCCTTCTTGGGGCTATCACAAGAGGTCATCAGAACATCCAGGAAGGGAGTGGGAGGTCGACCTACCGGTGGGTAGGGGTACCATGACGGCCAAATTGCTTCTCCTACCCTGCAGCTCAGCAAGTGCGAGAGGCAGCAAGCAAGAAATTCAAGCCAGACTGCAAATTTTCCTGGCTTTGTGTGACCGTCCTGAGCCTTCTACTCCTCCTGCTCCTGGCCTTGCTTGTGGGCATCCTAGTCACCTACCGTAAGTTCTGGATTGAGGGGTGGGGTCTTGGAGGGGCATTCCTGCAATTTAAGCCCATCCTGGGCCAATACGGTCTTGCTTTGGGAAAAGCCGGTGGTGGCACCATGATGTCTCCCTGAAGCTATGTGGGTAACGAAGACAGGGCACCAGAGCTGGGCTGCCCTTTGCTCCTTTTGTGCTACCAAGACCCCAAAGGTCATGCACTTTATTTCCAAGAAGACTTGGACCAAGAACTGGAAGCTGACTTTGTCGACTGGCATTCAAAGAAAATCAATATCAAATGTTTTGTAGATGGCACTTAGCGCCGGCACGACTGGCGAAAATGTATCCAACCTTGAAACCAGAATGCTGGAAGTGCAAACAAAAGAAAGGAACCTTTTTCCATATGTGGTGGCAATGTATAGGGGTCAAAAAATACTGGAAGAAAATACGGAGGTGGCTTTTTGAGATTACAAAATATAAATTGAATTTGGAACCCGAAATGTTTTTATTAGGTATGATCAAAGGGAATTTGAGTAAAGATAAAAGATACCTTATTGTACACATCTTAACTGCAGCAAGAATCACGTTAGCACAAAATGGGAAGAGTGATAAAATACCACCAGATGAAGTTTTGATTCAAAAAATAATGGACTGTGCTGAACTAGATAAATTCACTACGGAACTGAAAGGCAAAGAGGATCGAGAATACTATGCAACATGGGACAGGTGGTACGAATAGGTGAAGGATAAGGATAAAAATAATGTATAGTCACAAAATAAGAAACATGCATATACAATGACACAATAACTGTTTATGGAAATGAGATTTTTGTATTTTTTGTTTTTAAAGAATAATTTTTTAAAAAAAAAACCAAGAAGCCAACATTCTTGAACACAAAGAGGGATTTATTTTCAGGTCCAAATAGGCTAAGACAGCCTGTTCCTTTCATGTCAACAGCTACACGGAAAGATGTCCACCAGACCTTTTGTTGGGTCTCAGTCTTGAAGAGCCATCCTTTCTTCAACCATCCCCTATGGTTGTAGCTCTAAACCAATGTTTCTCAACCTTGGCAGGTTGAAGATGGGTGGACTTCAACTCCCAGAATTCCCAGCCAGCTTCAACCTGCCAAGGTTGAGAAATACCGCTCTAAGCAATGGGCCTGTAGTCTTCACACAACAACTCCTTTTTCCATCAGCCACCCCAGCTGAAGTGGGCGGGAGCTGAACTGGGAAAATGGGACTGGGAAGATGACTGGGTAAATGGGATGCCCCCACTCCTTTCTCACCTAAAATCCTGCCTCCCCATAGGCTGGGATCCTGTTGGCAGATGGTGGGGTGTAAAATAGGAGCTGGGATTGATCTGGCAAAGGGTGGATTTTTTTTTGGCAAGTTGGTGACTCAGTGTGATTAATTCTCTCCCAAAGCTTAAATCCCAGGTATTATTTCTAATTTATTTTTCTAAAGGTACGTTTTGACTTTCAGGAGTCATGTAGAGGAATCAGGCTGAAAAAGTCAGGGAGTGGGCGAGAACAAGGAACGGAGCTTTCAAGACCCAATTTTTCCAATGTTGTTGTCTTTATTCTTTTCCTCGTCAATTTCTCTCTCGCTTTTTTCTTTCTTGGAGACAGAGCTGAAGTCCCCTCCTCCAAGCAAGCCCACTCTTGAGAGTTTCCTTGGGCACGATGTCGCCAATGCCACCTTCACTTCCGTCAGGAGGACTTCGTGGGACACCATCTCCACCACTAGCCCTTCCCAGCGAGAGCTTCAGGGAACCACAAATCCAGGGCCTTGTGAGTACCGGTTACCGCTGGGGCTGTTTCTCTAACCTGGTTTGTTTGGCCTGGGGATTGGGATTGTGGTGTTTCTCGACCGATGCTGGACCTCATAGTGTACAGCTGCCACAAGAAGGAGAAAGACAGACTTTCTCCACCTAAAAAATATGGTGCTTCATAGACGACATCTATTCCATTCTTATGAATCCGCGTGTTTTAAAATGTAGCTTTATGTATAACTATCTATAATTTATATATCATTTCTTGAATTCGGAGTGGTGTGGTGGCCTAGAGGTAGAGCTCTCACCTCACAACCAAGACGCTATGAGTTCAATCCTAGGTCTAGGCAGATATTCCTTTCTCTCTCTGGGCACACTGAGAATGTATCTGCTAAACAAAACTCCGCGTTGGTGACAGGAAAGGCATCTGGCCATGAAAACATTCTGCTAGCTCCATTCAGTTGCCCAGACTCCACCCCTCAAGGGATTACAGGGGCCGTTAAAAGATGATGATGATTTCTTTACAAAATGGACTACACCCATGATGGTGAACCTATGGCATGCATGCCACAAGTGGCACGCAGAGCCATTTGTGCTGGCACGTAAGCCGCAGGCAAACTTACCTCACTGTGCATGTGCGCGCCACACAACTGATTTTTTTTTCAGTTGGTTTGAGGTCTTTTTCTGCCTCTCAGAGGCTTGGAAAAAGTCTCTGCAAGGTTTTTCAGGCCGAATTTTAGGCCCGTTTCATCACTTCCTGTAATACCGGAAGTGACGAAAGGGGCCTATAATTTGTCCTGAAAAGCCTTGCAGAGGCTTTTTCCAAGCCTCTGGGAGGCAGAGAAAGGTCTCAAACCAGCCAAAAAAATCAGCTGTGAGGTGCAGTGCAGGTAAAAGGGGGGGGATTGCATGTGCATGCACAGGGGGGCATGGGGAGGGGGCACACATTGCATTCTGGGTGTTGGCACACGAGTGTGTGTGCACTAACGCATGTGCACTGGTGCATGTGCAATTTTTGGCACAGGAGCCCACTGGACTACACCTTTCTATCACATATGCACATGTATAGAAGGAGCACATAGTAATATAATTTTATTAGTTATCCATGCGCTCCATATCAATGGCGCTCAAACTTTTCTTCACAATGGACCCCCCTTTAAATACCTTTTGTGGCCACAGACCATGGCCATCCCAAGACTTCACTCAAGATTTAAATCATAAAGTTTCTTCAAACTTTCGTGGACCTCATGTCATGAGATCGTGGCCCCTACCTGGCATCCGTGGACCACAGGTTGACAACCACTGTTCTATCATCATCTTTTAATGACCCCATAGTCCCTTGTGGGTTGGAGTCTGGGCAACTGAATGGAGCTAGCAGAGTGTTTTAAGTGACTGGATGCCCTTCCTGTTGACAATGCGGAGTTTGTTCAGCGGATATATTCTCAGTGTGCCCAGAGAGAGAAATATCTGCCTCTAACTAGGATCGAACTCACAGCCTCCTGATTGTGAGGTGAGAGCTCCACCTCTAGGCCACCACACCACTCCAATAACCACTGCTCTATGTCATACACTAAATAAGCCCGCAACACACTATGAGCTCGCTCAATCCATCCGTCTGACGTGAAGCCCTCTAACTGCCATCACTCCCACCCAGCCTGGCCATTGCTGGGAACTTTAACCCAATATTTGGAGAACATCAGGAAAAATATTGACCTTTGCTGAATCTAGTCTGTAACACATACAGATGTGGAATAGATAAGTAGAAGAGCTGTGTCCTCACAATGCCTTGGTTTGCAAGCTTCCCAACCACGTTCACAACACACACTGAGCTTTTTATTTATTTTTTGCAAAAAGTGTGTTTCTCTTGTCTTCACTGGCCATGCTGGTGGAGGATGAAAGATGTGTGTTCACATATCTGGAAGAGGTGAGGTTATGGCGATGTTCTAACCACGTCAACATCCTTGCTTGGTCTTGAGTCCAACCCAGCTCTCTAATTTAATAGTTCTTTCTCTGAAGAGTTGCTTCGTTCTCTGCCTTCTTCTTCTTCCGTAGTGTGTGGAGGTGAACTCGGAGGCCCCGAGGGCACTTTCAGCTCTCCCAACTACCCCGATCCCTACCCACCTAACCTCCTCTGCCACTGGCACATCCAAGTGAAGTTGGGGATGGTGATTCAGCTGAAAATAGAAACCTTGGATTTGGAGGCTTCAGATCTGTGCTTCTACGACCGGCTGGAAATCTACGAGGAATCAGATAGTCTCTCCCTTTGGGATGGGAGTACCAGGTAAGTAGCATGCCATAGAGAGGAGGAGGAGGACTGGACCTCTCAGTGTGCCTACATGTGTTTAGCTACTAGCTAGGATGGATTTTAGTTTTCTGGATCCTCCATCCGGATGATTGAGACAAGCCAACATCCAGAAAGTACCTGCGTTTTAAGGACTTTGCCATTGAATTGGATAAGAGCAATGTCAAAAGGCATATCTTGTAACCAAGTAGGTAGGATAAACGTTAAGGAAGATTATTTATTCTTGCCTATGGTCCCCCTAGTGGTGAGAGTTGGAAATGTTTGCTTACTTATTGATTTGTTCATTTTATTTTTATACTGTCTAATCCACCAAGAGCTACTCAAATTCTATTAGACTAATAAGGAACGAACAGGAGGCAATTAACCTCCATATCCGTTGTTGCAAGTGGGATGTCTTAAACTTTCAAATGTCATTGCTTTTCCATATTTTGCTTTCGAACTTTGTAAATCCCTCTAGAAGGAGAGTTCTTAATTGGTTTAAAAAAAAACCCTCGCCTTAATTTCTCGTTTACAAATATGTTTCAACATAGAAATAAGGAGAAATTTTCTGACAGTGAGAACAATCAACCAATGGAACAGAAGTTGCCTTTGGAAGTTGTGGGAGCTTCGTCACTGGACACTCACTGGACATCAAGAAGAGACTGGACTGCCATCTGTCAGAAATGGTGTAGGGTCTCCTGCTTGGGTGGGGATTGGACTAGATGACATACAAGGTCCCTTCCAACTCTGTAAATCTGAAATTAATCTGAAATTAAATCAATGTTGAAATGATCAATAATCCAATTCAACATTTCATCCAGTTTGGTGTCATCTACTTCAGCCTTAAAATCTCATTCTGATGCCCAGCTGAGAATACATGATGGAAGGGTGGTCAGCTCTCCAACAGTCAAAGGAAAAGTGGAAATGTTAAGTCATTAAGTGAAGCAGTCACTAATTGAAACCCCAACTGTGCTTAGGATCTTATTTCAGCTTTGTTGTACAAATCTGTGAAGGTTGTAACTGTGAGGGTTGGTCATTGTGAAATTATTGTTTCAATATTGTCAGAACTGTGAATGGTCACTGCACGAGGACTGCCTGTAGATGTCTCTCCAGGGGAAGCGGGGCTCCACAGCTCCTTGTTCCCTTACTTACATGGCAACTTTTACAGGTACTGTGGCACTATAGCCCCAGCGACTATCAACACCAACTCTAACCAGATCAAAGTTGGTTTTGTGTCCGATGATAATACTGCTCCCTCAGGGTTCACGGCGAGGTACCGGGCCATCCTCCCCAGTGAAAGTAAGTGCCAGCTATTTCTTGAATGGGGAGGAATTTGAGGCTGCTGGAAACTTGCTTTTGGTGGGAGGAAGTTGGTTTTTTTTTTTTTAACATGGAACCATGATTTTCTATCCCTGAAGTAATGGGAATGACATGAAAGAGATTGAAACCATGCAACTTCCGAAGACATTTAAAGCACAAAAAAAAGCCACTCACTGACCAGGTAGAAGAAGACAATATTTAAATCCATAAGTGCAATAACACAGCCCAATTTGACCAGGGGAAGGGTTACAGCTGATCTCTCTGCTAGTCAAATCGGTGGGGAAAATGGAAGACATATTTTATTTATGGTTATTCTTTCTGAGTTAAGTGTCCTAGAACAGGGGTCTCCAATCTTGGCTGGCTGAGGAATTCTGGGAGTTGCCAACGATGGAGCTCCCTGCTTTAAAGTTTTAAGAACTGAAGATGTAAAGAGCGTCTCCAAAGAAGACCCCCTTCTTGAGATGTTCTCATACGTTCAAATGTCCGGATATATAGCAAAAGTTAGCCTCCTGCCCACAAAACAGCTTAGCATCAGCTTTAAGAAGAGATGTAGACTATAGGGTATCAAATGCATCATGGTTGGCGATGGAGACTGGAGAAGACCTCAGGATACGGCTGTCTCTCCAGTTACCAGCTGCCCAAGAGAATACTGATTTGTCTCACGACGAAGACAAGAGTTGCCCTCGTATCAAGGACCAAATGGCAAAATTGCCGTAATGTTTCGCGGAACGAACATTCACAATTAGCTCAGTGCTGATTTATTACTCAGAGTCACATGGATGCACTGGCTAATTTTATCCTCAGAACGTGGGAAAGTTCTAAATTGGTGAGGGAAACAAAAGACAGCTTGCGTGGCACTTTTAAGCTGGCTTAAAATCTTTTGACATTGGGTAGAATAAAGACTGAGCGTTACGTGGGCATCACGAGCCAAGCAATGACAAGATTGGTGCTTTTCTTTCTCCTCTTTCTCCTCCTCCATCTCTTCTCCTCCTCCTCCTCTTCCCCCATCTCCTCTCTTCTTCTTTCTCTTCTTCTTCTTCCTTCTCCTCCTCCTCCACCACCTCTTTCCTCCTCCACCTTTTTCCTTGCTTTTTCTCCTCCTTCTTCATACTCTTGCAAAGCTACATTGCCAGAAGTATCTAGAAAAAGAAGGGAGTCAAGTCAATTGCAACCAATTCCAAGATAGACTGGGTTTGATCTGAACCTTTAACTCCTTGACTTCCAGAGGCCTATATTTATTCTAGAGAACTGCTCCTGGGATGAATTCTTCTGTGACCAGGGACTTTGCCTTCTTCCAGCCTTTGTGTGTGATGGTCACCAGGACTGCCTGGACAACAGAGATGAAGCCAATTGTAGTGCCAAGCATACAGGTATGGTACCCACACAAGCAGGAAAAGTTACTGTGACTCTGCTTCACATCAGGAGGAGAAGAGGAGAAATTGGAAAAATAAAGAGACGGGAAGATATTGCAGGTATAACCAGAAAAGTGCCAGTAACAAACCCATGACCATCTACGATGTTGGTTGTCTCTTTCCAGGTTGTGGTGGGAGTTTGACCAGCCTGGAGGGACAGTTCTTCTCCCCAAACTACCCCAAACCATACCCACATCTACAGGTGAGTGAAGACTTTTGAGGGGGGCAAGCTTGGGCCTTGGGGATCCATTTTGCCCCAGAAGTCTCACCTTCCAACTCTATCACTGTATCCCTTTCTGGGGAAGCCTGGCCTTTAAGGATTGGACCTGGCTCTACCAGATAGATAGATGATAGATAGATGATAGATGATAGATAGATAGATAGATAGATAGATAGATAGATAGATAGATAGATAGATAGATAGATAGAGATAGATAGATAGATAGATAGATAGATAGATAGATAGATAGATAGATAGATAGATAGATAGATAGGGATAGATGATATAAATAGATAGATAGAAAGAGAGAGAGAGAGATGGATAGATAGGTGATATAGATAGATAGATGATATAGATAGATAGATAGATAGATAGATAGATAGATAGATAGATAGATA